GGCAAGTGGAGGAGTGGGTGTGTAGAGGTGTTCAAAGAGGAATTTCCCAGGGAAGGCGATTTAGGGGTGGGTGGTTGGCCGGGCGGGGTACGAGAGGTGGTTTGCGGGGCACGGAATGTGTCCCCGGCCCGGCAGCCCGCCTCGAGCCAATCAGCGACCCCACGCCCCCGCACCGGAGGGGTCGGCGCGGGATCGGGCCTCGTTTTCAAACTCCGCCTTCACTACGAGGCGTCATTTTCGTTTTTCCCTCTTGTCCTCGACCGTAGGCACTCCGTGCGGTCCGCTCAATGACTTCACATCATCCCTCCCCCTCTTTTGCCCATGCCCATCCCCTCTCCTTTTCCTCGTAGCGCCCAGAGGCAGGGGTGAGAACAAGGGGTGCCAGCGCCCTACTGTACCTCCCGCGGGGAGGATCGCATCCCCCCGGGGGAAGTTCACCGCCGCCGTCGCGGCTGCTGTTGCTGCTGCTGCTGCTGCTGCTGCTACTCGAGGAAGTTTTGGTACAAAGCGGTGTCGGGCGGCGGCCGGGCGAAGCTGGTCCTGAGTGCCGGGCGCGCCGGCGGCCAGACCATGAGGTCGGGCGAGGGGGTTATGGGGGTGCATGCCGAAGACGGCGAAGCTGCGCCCATGTGGCGGTCTGACTTGTGTGTTGTGCGGAGAGGTGGGGGGGAGGAGGAGGAGGAGGGGGAGGAGGAGGAGGAGGAGGAGGAGGAGGAGGAGGAGGAGGAGGATGAGGAGGAGGAGGAGGAGGAGGTGGGAGGGAGGAGGAGGGAGAGGCTGCTGCTGGCTGCTGTTGCTGCTCCCCGCGGCGAGTCTGTTTGCTCATACGGGGGCCGCATGCTGGTGGGATTTAGAGTGCCCCACTGCCCCACCCCCCATCCTGGTCCGGGGTATATCGCCATCGCCCGGCGCCTCACATCATCGCCAAGGTCGCTGGTGTCGCGCGCTGTCCTGGCCTTGTCCCACGCGCCCCGTCAACGTGGTGTGCGGCTATGTGTGGGAGGGGGGGGGGCGTCATTTCCACGCTTCGACCTACATCCTCCACCCCTTCCCGTCTTTAGTGCGAAATCCAAAATTCATGACAAGCAGCCCGGCTGACGTGCGTGGTTTGACAGAGCCGACCATCAGCAAAGGGCCCGGGGGCAGCCGCAGGGCAGGTTCGGGTTTCACGGACGCAGACTAGGGAAAAACTGAGAGGGGCACCCCAAGGTCACTGTCGTGGCGGGATAGGGGATCTCCTCGTCGGGCTCGCGGCAGCCTAGGCCCTCGGGGCCCCCTGGTCCCCCACCCCGCCCTCTGGGCTGGGCTTTTCTCACCAATTCGCCCACGCACACCTGCCCCTGACCGAAGATGTTACATTCTACCGAGCCCTCCGCTACCAAGCTCTGATCCCTGAACGGGCGCGTCTTCATTCCGTCACGCCCCCGGCTTTGCTCCTGGCAAGGCTCCTGGAATGATGGCGTGGGGCGTAGATTCGGGCGCTGCGCGTGGGCTGCGCGGGGACCTATAGATCGGGCGTAACGCAGCGTATGGCAGGGGCCTTCGTCAGGCGTCGGGTCGACAGCCCCCCCTGTGTGATGGGGCCGGCGGCTGCAGCTGGCGGCCGCGCACCACCCTCTGCCCTGCACCCGGTACCCACCCGTGTTCCCTGCTGCTCGGCTGCGCTGCTCGGATGCGCGCCCACGCCCCCTGCTCACCGAGTGTGCCTCCGCTTGTTGCAGGTGGTGATGCTGTGCGTGTGGGTGCTGTCGGCGCTCTACTCGTCGCCGCGCTTCTTCTGGGTGCAGACCATCTCCATGCCCGTGGACCGGATCGGCAACTCGGAGACCATCTGCATCTCGCACCGGCAGAAGTACGACTCGGAGACGTTCGACCTCATCAACTTCGGCCTGCTGTACGCCACGCCCCTCGCCGTCATGCTGCTGCTGTACACCAGGATCGCCCTGGTGCTGTGGGATGCGGGCCGCGGGCCGCCGGGCATCCACTCGTCTCACCGACCCAGGAAGGAGGTAGGTCACGTCACCTTGTCCCCAAACACCCCCTACATAGGGCGATCACCCCAAAAAAAAACGGGTTTGCAAAACCGTCATTCGAGAAATGTCAAGACAAGAAACGGGCTGCACGGGCTGTCCAAACGGACCTTGCTCGTCCGGAGTCATCTTGGAGAACGTTTTTCTATATCCGTTTTTGCGATCCCCAATATTCGCACCGCCCAACAACCCCTTAGGCCCGGAGGTGTTCCCGTCGTGTCCGGCACTCACGCGCCCGTCTCTGGATGTCCACAGGAGCGAAGCGGCAGCACGCCGTTCTGCCGCGGCGTGGCGCCCACCCTGAGGGTCACCTTCGACGCGGCGCGCGACAACGGCACAACCACGCCGGTCGACGCCCGGGTGTCGATCGCTTCCGACGAGGCCGCCGCCGGCCCGACGGTCGCCGGCGAACCGTCGCCGACCAACGGCCACGGCGGCGGCGGCGGCCTGTGGAACAACAACCAGCACCCGGTGCGCAAGTCGGGGCGGCGCTCGCGGGGCGCTGGGGGCGGGCTGGGCGCCGTGGGGGCGGCGGGCGCGCGCTGCTACCACGTGTCCGCCAGCCAGAACATCCTCAAGGCGCGCCGCGGCGTGGTGCGCATGCTCATCGTCGTGGTGCTCACCTTCGCCGTGTGCAACCTGCCGTACCATGCGCGCAAGATGTGGCAGTACTGGTCCACGAGCTACGAGGGCGACTCGTCCTTCAGCACCCTGTTCACGCCCATCACTTTCCTCCTCACTTACTTCAACTCGGGCATCAACCCGCTGCTCTACGCCTTCCTCTCGCGGAACTTTCGCAAGGGCATGCGGGAGCTCCTGCTCTGCCCGTCTAGGGAGAAGGGGCGCCCGCTGGCCCAGCAGTCCTCGATCACCAGGAAGACGTCGGTCCGCTCCGCCACCAAGCTGTGCCCCGGCGCGGCCGTCGGCGCCGTCGGCGGCATCGCCCTGGAGCACAGCGGCTGAGCGGCCCCGGACGATCTGAGCATCGCGGCCGCGCACGAGAGCGAGTAGCGAGGGGTGGACCACTTGAGTATTCCGTGTACATACTGAAAAATACTCCAAAAATATTCCAGTTATTCCCCCAATTATTCCAGATATTCCAAAAGTATTCCAGATATTTCACAAATATTCCACAGTACACCAAAACTCTCAGTGGTCGACCCCTCGGCGAATAGTAAGTGAAAGGGGTAGGGTGGGGGGTCTTCCGTGCGCAGGCGCGGTATTGCCCATAAGATTTTGTGTCACGATAGTAAATGTTTCCGCGGGCGAGCAATAAACCCTTGCTTGTTTGCGGAGCCTCTCGCGCCGTCCTATCGATGATCGCTCTATCTCAAGTATTGCCTAATTTGGGAGAGTATTTTATTACAACCACGCTCACTTTCTTGTATGTCCCATGCTTTCTATTCTAAAGGTAATGTTAGTGTAAGTTTGTTTGGTTCGCCATCCTATCGATTAGTCGCGCGCCTTTTGAACTGATACCGTCGATATGAATTGTAAATTTGTCCATCTTCGTTGCCAAAGAGTGACTTGTTGTAGACTGTGATACTGTAACTATTAATCTAATTAATTAATTATTTATTTATTTATATATATATATATTCTTGTTAAGAAAAGTATACTAAAGTTAGGAACATTATTGTATTGTATATTAAGCTCGTAGGAAATATTCGGCCCGTGCTCGCCTCCGCGGGACAGAACGGCAGCACGGGCTCGATTTTTTTTTCGTTGTTTTTTCTTACCCTGCGCCAAATGTGGGGGACTTCCCGTCGTTGCAAGTAGTCGGTGCGACGCGCGTTACTAGTGCCATTTCCTGGGACATTTGTTGCCCGCATATCGACGTACTGCGATCTGGAATCTGGTTTGGTGTGTGTCCCAGTCTAGTCACTACTACTATATTACTGTACTACTTGTCATTGTAATAAAGCGCAGAGTATTCTTTTCTACGTGGCGAGTCGTTTCATTCGAACCGAGAAGTCCTCCGCTAAAAATAAAATCGGTAAAAACTCTCCAAAAATTCAAAAAAAAAAAGGGGGGGGGGGAAATCAGTCTAAAAAAGTTTGAAAAAAATTGAAATTTGAGAAAAAAAAAGAGAAAAGACGGTGTGCGCTGGAATTTATGGTGGGGTACACCCCTCGGTTCTCAACCCCCTTATTCCACGGCGTCTTCGACCCCTGTAACACACACTCGACGACATCACTTCACCGTCCGCATCATCTCCGCCAGCCCCTCCCAGGCGCATCAGCTCCGCTCACTGCGCCGACACACACTGCCGCTGGAGCGTGCGCACGGCGTGGGGGCGTTTGGGGCGCCCAGCCCATCGCGACCCTATGGCGCTCAGGAATTCGGAAAGCACCGCGCCATATCATGGTGGCGTGGCCCACCCCTTTCCCTTCCCCCTTCTCTCCTCACATGCGCTGAATGCCTGCCCCTCCGCTGCGGTGTGTGGATGTGTGTGTGTGTGGGGGGGGGGGGGCGTGGAGTGAACGCTTCGCACCATCAGCCCCCCCCCCTCCTCCCTTTTGCATCTAGCTTGGTTTACCCACATCGAGGCGACGTGCTTTGCAAGATAAAGCGTAAGCTCCCGTTCAACTTGTGCTTTAGAGCTGGATACGCATGCAACCAGGCCACGACACGAATGACGCTCAATCTGCACACCTTGTCTCGTCCACCCCGCGCGGACCTCCCACCCCCCTTCTCCCACCGCCCTCCTCCCCTCTCCCCGAGATCCCCCTGTATGAGCTCAACCCAGGATCGCTGATAAGGGAGTATGCGAAATCGCTCGTTATGTTAATTGCCTCTTCTTGGCACTAGTTTGTGTGGTGCCGGCAACATAGCTGACCTCACCGCGCGAGGCCGTTTTCAAACAATTTACCTGCCTTTTCCATAGTCGTCCATAGTATTAGAGGAGGAGGTGAACTTGTTTGCTCCCGTGTTTTTCGTTCTTTTCTTTTTTTTCTTCTTTTTTCGCGTTGCTAGGTGTATCAGCGTCGCTGCTCTCTCCACGGGGGTTGCTGGGCGGGGGATGGGGCCGCATTATGATTTCATTCGCCCCGACGGCTAATTAGCGCACTTGCCCCCGCACACCATGCGTTTGTTTTTCTTTCGCGGCGCGCCCGAAATTTCGCCGACAGGTTGTAAAACGAAAGTGGAAAATGTTCAGTCGGGCGCCGGGCCAGCAAAGCTCTGCACTCGCGGGCCTCCTGCGGCCCTATTGCATGGCGCTTTGGACTGCTCTACTCTGTAAGTTCTTTGAGGGGCGCTTTTGTTACCGGGCCAATTGCTCCTGGCGGGGTGGGGTTACTGCCCTGCAGCATGCAGTCTTCTACCCCCCCCCCCTCCCCCCACCCTCCGGACAACAAACCATAAACATTTTGGCCATCACTGCTCTTGCCCTCCCCCTCTCTCGCTCTCTGTCGATTTCTGTGTATATCTGTCTCTCTCGCTCTCTCTGTCTCTCCTTCCCTCCTTTTATAGTCGCACATATGTACCTACAACGAATCCCCCCCCCTTCTCCCCATATACGGTTACTCCGCCAAGCCGTATATGCTTTCGAGTGGCCTCTTAAAAATTTCATCCTTTTGCCGCTCTCCCCTGCTGGGTAGTTGGACTCCACCGTGCCCAGCGCCAGCAGGGGGCGGCACGGCGGGGAACGGCACAGCTCCCCCTGCAAAACTGTGCTGAGATAAGCCCTGCCCTCGCCGGGGCAGCAGGGCTGTACGCATGTCCCTGGATTGCTCTCTGGAGCAGCGGGTCCAGCGCTGATTCTCTTTGCAGGCCCGCCGGCCCGACCCCGGCCGCTGCTGCGGACCCCGCAACACAACTCTCATGTATTTAGGATAGGTCATGCCCCCGGCTGGGGCCTGGCCCCACCGGCCAGGTCAAACGCAACCACGCTCAATTTATTTTACGCTTACAAAAAAGAAGACACAAAAAAACACACACAAAAAAAACGACCCGGCGTGACAGGTTTTGTCGTTTCGCCAAGGCCGCCGGCGGCGACGACCCCTCCGGGAGCCGATGACGCCGTCCTCTCTTTCGGCGTGGTGCGGCTCCTACTCGCGCTCAAATGTCAACCGGGCGCGTGGTGGGCGCGTCCTAGGGCAGGGCAGTGGCGGTCCGCGCCGCGGTCCGCGCCGGGCCGGGCCGGGCCGAGGGCACCGCTAGCCGAGCTCCGGCCGACACTCCTTGTTCCAGGCCGCCGGGTTGTTTGTTCGGGAGTGGGGCACACCGGCTGTATAGGCCGGCGGGGCGGGGCGGGGCGGCGCCGCGGGCGCGCTGCGTCGCCGTGGCCGTGTGAGTCACGGGACACCTGATTATGTCACGCCTGACATAACGTTACCTTCCTGTGGGATCGTCTCCTGTCGTGAGTGTCTCTCTTGTGTGTGCGAGGCAGTTTCCACGTCATCGCCACCACGCTACCAAAAAAAAAAAAAGTAATTAAAAAAATGAAAAAGTGGTATTTGCTTTGTTTGCGCTGCATTAGTTTCAGTCCTGGGAATGAGCCCTGCTACGGCGGACAGTACGGGGTATTTTAGCGTTGTTGTTGCATTTGGTGGAACTCCTAATTAACGCTAATTATGGAATAAAATTATTTTATTATTCGCCAGCTCCTTGACTGGGGGATGAAAGACGCCATAGCTACTTAAATAACATCCACCACTGACTTACAATTTTTTCCCCGCTAGGCTTTGCCGCGGTCTCTTTGAACTGAGCTGAGGGGAGCGGCCTGAAATCGTCCCGACTTTGGTGCGCCGCTGATACGGTTGATGAGCCAAAGGCACTGGGCGGCGGAGGAGGGGAGAGGCAAAAGGCTTAGCGAGGCTCATGGATTTAATTTTTGCTGTTTTATCTCCCTTCTGACAGTCCCCAACTGACGAGAATTAGCACACTTGCCGTGTTTATACACGATCGTTACTCCAGCGTTGGCACATCTTTTTTTTTCTTCGTCCTTTCCTTTTTTCTCCATTTCGCTGATAAAGAAACCGTATTCTCCCTTTCCGGGCGGACTATGATGATTAATCTCACGCTGCTCTTGGCCCGTGAGAGATTACGAGCGGACGGAGGCGAGTCGCGAAGCCTCTGGCGAAGCCTCACGGCCTCATGGCAAGTGCGTCCTCATTACCCGCAGAGCAGGCAGGCGGCCGCCAGGCAGCCGACAGGCCTGCCGGCAAGCGCTTCACGCTCCGGGCGCTTACAGCGTTCCTCTTGATTCTCACTTTTCTTTCCCTCTTTCTCGCCCCCTGCTACTGCTTGCTGCTCCTGCTGCTGCTGCTGCTCCTGCTGCTGCTCCTGCTGCTGCTCCTGCTGCTGCTCCTGCTGATGCTCCTGCTGCTGCTGCTGCTGCTGCTGCTGCTGCTGCTGCTGCTGCTGCTGCTTCTGCTGCTGCTGGGCACGCTAATATTCATTGGGAGAAAAAAAAATTCCACCCCGCATTCGAGGCGGCTACTCTGCCTGAGTAAAAGCAGGTCTTGATGAAAATAAAGTAAGAGGGAAAATAAAGAGCGAAACCTGCTGTGCTGTGCTGAGCTGGGCCCGAGGCTGGGCCCCGCCGCCGCCGCCGGGCCTTGGGTATGCCGCCCTCGTGCTGCAGAGTCATGCAGGGGAAGGCGATGACCTCCGAGTGGGCGGCGTGGGCGGGGAGCGGACCAGGACCCCGGCGGGCCGGCTGACCGGCGCACCGGGAGGAGGAGGAGGAGGTGGTGGCCCTCCTTCCAGACGCGCGTCAGCAGCCAGCGGCTCGCCCGCGCCCCGCGCCCCGCTGCAGCGAGTCAGACTTGGCCCCCGCCGCGCCGCGCTCGCCGCCCAGATCCGGGCATCTCAACGACCCGGATCTAATAATCGGCCTGTTGGGCGGGGCGGGTGCGTTGCGTAATGCCGTGTAACTGAGCGTACACTCCAGTGTGAGTCGGCATCCGGACTGCGTGGCGGGGCGTAGCGTGGCGTGGCGTGGCGTGGCGGGGTGGGGCGGGGCGGGGCTTGGCGCAGGCTTGGCGGGGACGGCCTGCAGGACAAGGCGGAGCGGATTCCTGCAGCCGGTCCCGGACCTACGAACCGTGGCGAAGGTGCCGGGAGCAGCGGATGTGTTGTGTTTGGAGCCCGTCTGCCATGCGGTGGTGCCCCGCAGCCGTGCCCTTCGTCGCCCTCGATCCCCGCGGGGGTTCCTCCTCCCGTGCAGGCGCACAAAGGTCCTGGAGGCTCCAGGGACGACGACACTCCAGCTCGAAGAAAGGACCTGATGGCGCGTTGTCGACGCGATAGGACGTGAAGAGGCTTTTGATGGACCGCCTGCTCCTGGGCCCCTCGCGCGCGGCTCGCAGCAGCAGCGGGTGTGGGCCGCGCAGGCCCGCCTGACCCCGCCCCGAGGCGAGGGCGAGCTGCATAATGTATTTAGGGGGGGGGGGGGGGGTTAAGGGTCAGCGTCAGCGAACAAGTTTTGCGGGTCTGCGAGCGAATCTTATTCTTGTCTCGAAATGCCATTTGCTTATTTCAGAGTGAAGTGGTTGAAAGCAGTCGACACCCACCTAGAGTCATACGCACGACGACGCAAGCGCGCGCAGTTTTTGCCCGTGGTTTCCCCCATTCCTAAAATAAGAACGAGTTGGTCGCGAGTTTTCGCGAGCTGGGCGCGGGCAAGTGTTCAACGAGTTGATGAGGAAGTGGGGGAGGGGGGGGGGGGTAGTATTCTCAGCCGGCACCTGTGTGGTGGAGTGAACACAACGCCCCCTCCCTCCCCGCCCTCTTCCCCGCTGCCCCCCATCTTCTCCTGCCGCCCCCTCAGAGCTCCCGCCTCGCTTGCACCCTCCCCGCGGGACTTCCCCCCGCCCGCTACGCGCACGCTCCCCCAACTCAATTTGAACAAAGTGGTTTATGCGTCAAACGGCCCCAGCTGGGGCCCGATTTGGACCGCTGTGAGCTTGCCCTCTCTCCCCTTTCCCCTCCCTCC